CCCTTCCGGGACGATTTCCTCTGGGTTCATGGGGACGTGAACAGCAAGCGGAACATGATAGATAGGGCATCCTTCAAGTTGTTCCTGCGATGGCAGGATTACACTGCTATAGTCACCGGGCCAAGCACGGAGAAATCCTCGGACAATTGCAGTGATCTTCAGCGGGAGCTGCCGCACGTGCAAAACCTTCGTGCGAGGACCTCAAAGATAGACGAAAAACGTACAAACAGGACGCCAGTACACAAAGCTTCTTTCTTTCGAGGTAAGGACTGCGAGACCGCTCACGTGCGGTAGTGCCTAACCAAAAAAGGAAAGATAACCGATGAGGCACGTAGGAAAGGCAGGAGACGCACCTGAAACCATTTCTGGAGGTGTTCGAGGAACCGCGTCGTCGTTGGGACGAACTTCACCTGAACGCCAAGCAAAGGACACAGCAAACACCAACGAGGGAGGTGAGGGACAAGACCCCATGGGTAAGGTCGTTAGGAAAAACTGGCTGCGTCACTGGCAGCCGCAAGACTCGGCGCAACAGTCTCAAGAAGCTGAAACTGAGCAGGGCCTTGCACCGTGAGAGAGGAACAAACACCGTGTCAGTTTCGTACGAAGGAAAGCATGAGCAGTAAAATGACGCATCGAGAACCGGACTAACCCACCGAAGCTTCTCGTCGTACGTGGCCAGCGTGCCGTCGCCAAGTTGGCAATAGCCATCGAGGCGTATAGCAAGCACCGTGCGAGTCAGCGAGTGAGAGGAAACAAACATAACCCAAGATGTACTCCCCCCAAACAGAATCCCCTCGCTCCACTGCCTCTTGGGTGGACGAGCTCCAATAAAGGACTCGTTTGCCCAGCAACCATCCGAAAGACTCGACTGGAGTGGCCTGGCAGGATGCACCGGACCGACACGACGACGATATATCAAGACGACCCCCAGCACCGAAAACACGACTGCGAGCGAACGAAAGAAGCTACAAGGCGCGATTGGTTACCCTAGAGCCGAAATGCTGAAGCACTCCCCCCCAAAGGAATACATGAAATTGTTACGTGTGAACCACGGTACAGCGTTAGTAACAGGTTGCAGAAGCAATCTGGCACCAGCGAACCACGTGAGCGCAGAAAGTGTTTCTTGCAGGCATCCATGCCCTGATACTCTTTTTTTTCCCTCTCCGTGATCACACGATTGTCGTCCGACGACGCCCGGCAAGGAGTCTCGTGAAAGCGCCTGATTGTCCAAGAGTTATCGGGTAAGGAGCCCCGAAGGCAAACCGAAAGCAACGTCGAGGCGATGGAGGCCTAAGCTCCGGACAAGCCCCGGCGAACCTGTCCAGAGGGAGTTCAAAATAAGACCAAACCGCAAACGCATGCCCGATTGTCGCACAGACAAGCTCGGGCTCGCAAAAAATACTGAGTGAACCGAAAGTAGTCGCCAGATAAGATAATGACGTCCGACAGTTGTTGGGCAAAAGGCACGAGGCCCTAGAATATCAAGAGCACTTATGTCTGATTGTTGCAAACGACATTGTGCAAAAGACACGGAGTGAGTCGAAGGTACTCTCCCGACAGAGCTCCTGGCGTCCCACCGTTGGCGGGTAAGGGGCCTCAAACACGAACCGAAAGCGGCGTCAGAAGCATCTGCCCAGTGCCTCAGCTCCAAGTGACGTAGAGTGAGGCAAACAATAACAAAAGAAAAGAAGCAAGAAAACTCAAGAAAGTCCCCATGGAGGCACAAGCTCCTGACAAACCCCGGCGAACCTGTCCAGAGGAAGTCAGAAATAAGACCAAAAGACACATGAATGCCCAGAGGCGCGCAGGCAACGTGCGTCAACAGCAGGAAACTCCGTAAGAGGACAACTGCACACAACGCGTCAACCGTGAAGCCGAACCTTTTTCACACAGGCACCACCTGCGGCGAATTTGCCTGAAACTCAAAGCGCGACTATGGGACCGTTGAATCGATGCCCCAGGGACTCTCAGTGGTTGAGGGGGGACAGTTCCCATGGCGAGCTCGACTCTGATGCAGACAAAGCAGGTGGATAATCCTCGAAGAAAACCAAAGACCTCATGGCCAGCGTCGTATTGCTGTGACTGCCAAGCGCATGACTTCACATTGTGGTGCGATGGCGTTTCCAGAATGCCAGTAGCGCTGGCGAGGGACGGGGACGGGGAGGGAAGAGGCAGTGGAGGGGAGGGGAAAGGGGGGGTGCAAAACAATCGATCTATCAATGAGTCATCCCCTATTTTTTTTTTTTTTCTCTCTCTCTCTCTCTCTCCCCCCCCCTTCTTTCCCCCTCTCTCTCTCCCTCTCTCTCTCTCTCTCTCTCCCCCTTTTTCTCTCATGCAGATCTTTATACTTGCATATTTTCACATCGTACAGATCCAATATGTGCGTCCTCACACCTGCAAAACTTCACAACTGCAACACCGTTCATGGTTTCAAACTGCAAAGAAAAAACAAATATAACGTAAATATAAATATATATTCTATTTTTGAAATAGATATATTATATACTTTGTAGTTTAAAAAAGAACTTTCGCGATGACCTCGATGCGGCGGTTGTCCACCCGGTCAACTGAGGGCAGGTTCAGGTCTGTGAGCAAGGTGTTTGTGGTGACACGTGCCCCTGCCCCACGGCATGTTCTAGCTGCGGCGCGTTCGAGGGGGCAACCTCGACTCCGGAGAGCCCCTGACCGTGGGCAAGCTGCGCGGTGGTAAACTAACCTTTGTCTGGTGTCACTGTGTATGTATGTTCATGATTTACACATATGGCGCAAGACTGAGTAAACAGCTGGCTTTCACGCACGCCTGCACTTGACTCGTTGTCCGAGCATTGTCCGTTGGACCTCTCCGGATTCAAAACGCAGTTGAGGAATGGGTATTCTGAGTTCTTTGGCAACAAAACGGTCCGAAATTTTGCAGGAGGTAACCAAGACGATCATTGTCCAAGAACTCTCAGTACACCGTGGCATCGGCAGTTACTGTGGTCTTGACAATTGGACCGAACCCTTCGGGCTTATCGATGCTAGTTATTGACAACCAGTCGTCTATGGCCTCCTCGTATTTAAGCTAACATATGATATGTTTTTGTCAAAGACAGGCGGCAGTTTAGCGTTCACATGCAAGGATATCGACTCCTCGTGGGACAATCGTGTTGCAAAGGCTGGCGCGGCTGCCATGGCACTTGGACTTGCACTCGGCCATGGGAGGCCCCTGGCATCATCGCCTGACCTGGACATCACGAGCAGGCTTTGCTACCACTCCTCCCAGTGTTGTTTACTTGCTTCCCCCCTTTGTACACATCCAGCCTCAGAAACAAACATCTTTGCAAGTCCCAGAAACTTACGCACAAGAACACGACGCAGCCATCACAGCCATGGCAGACATTCTTGGACATGGCGAAGTGCAAGCCACCGCCATCGCCACAGCCTGGCACCATTAGCGCAAGGAGGATTGGGCTTGGCCTGCCCAGCAATTTGTACCAACAAGTGGGCCCAGCTGGCCAAGCAATGCTGGACTCCCAATCGGGCCCTTATGCTGCCAGCATAGCTCTCACCACACAGCCACAAGCAGCAGACACAACGTACTCTTCACACCTTTTCCAATTGCTCCTCCGCCTCCCACTTCCCTCGTCAGAGCGAACCTGGCGACCACCGCGCAGCTTGTTCCACGGGTGGGGTACTGCGGGCCCGAGGCATTTCCTTAGAACGTGCGGCAGCCAGAGGGTGCAGAGAAACAGGCCCCACCTTCACCATGCACACCAGGGTCTCAGACCTCAATCTCCCGGCGGTCCGACAAGCTAATGACCGACAAAATGAAATGTTTGCCGACGGCAATGGCAGCCAGCTGGCCATCGACACCACGCTGGTTGTGCCGGTTGTGCCACCCACCAGCACCGGCCGACCACGACGGCGAGACAGCGGCGTGACGATGCAAAAAGGGCCAAAGAGCGGGCGTACCCTGAGTTCCGTACAGCCCGCCGCTGCCTTTTGATCGTGCTAGCCATTGAAGTTGGGGGCAGATGGAGCACGGAGACCACACACTTTTTCTGACAATGGGCGCAAACCGGAGCACGCTCGGCCCCCCGAGCCATCCACGCAGGCGCTGTCGCAGCATACATCGCGCGATGGTCTGCCATCATCGCACGTGCAGCCATGCATGCTGTTGCTGCTTCATTGTTCTCCCTTCCTTGTGATGATCCTGCTGAAGCGGAACGCCTGCTTTTAGGCGAGCTCCTTGTTCGAGGGGGTCCCTCCAGGCCGTCGTGGGCCTGGACTTTCGCCAGCCCGGGAACCTTTCGCACATCCGCTGGCCGCCGGTATGCAAATGGTCTCCGCATCCGGGAGCCGCCGGTATAGAAATGGCTTTCCACCAGGACTCGCTGTGGAAAAGGAGCGGGAGGAAAAACATATATAGATCCTGACATCATCAACGTCCCGCGGCTGCATGGCATCTACATATTTTTGCTGGTTTGTGGCTACTCGCTCAGAATTTTGCAGTGCAGCAGCCCCGAGAGTGTGTATTATTGTTGTTTTTTAGCATCATGTTATATTTTCGTCAGATGGCGGCAGCAAGATATAGTTTTCGAGCATTTTGGGGGTTGTGTTCTACGTGAGCCCAAACAATTTCTGATGTTCCTGTAGTTGTGCCCTGAGGGGGTGGTCGTCGGAAATGGAGGTGCCAAGGCACATTAAACTTCAGCCTCCCAAAACAGGCTTAACAGAAGGCTGGGCAGCGGGTTTGTGTTGGCATACCTAGATGCCCCGGCCCCGAGGCAGAAAACCGCAGCCGAAACACATCTTTAGTTTGTGCTCCGCTGATTTTGAGCCATCTACGTAGACATACATGGACCACAACATGCCACAAGCATACAACAACCAAAGTTGGAAGACGGCAGACAAGCAACGCGCACCCAAACTGAACTCGCACCTGGCATGTCAACTGATAATGACCACACGGATGAACCGATCTCAAGCACCTCACGGCAATGCCTGCTTCAACTGGTCCAGGACCCCGTGCCACAAGAACCCATGTGCATTTGCAGCCCATGGCACAGTGTTTTTTGGGCGCGAGCTTGTTGGTCGTCGTTGAGGCCGAGGCCGGCAAAGTTCGCATGCCAGCACGTGTCATTGTGATCCATGATCTATGGATATCTATGGCCAAAATCCTTTAGTTTTTCGTGCTCCCGCTTCCATTTCATGTGCCGAAAAGCCTGCAACGCCCCATTTCCCAGTGCCGTGAGGCGCGTGAATGCGGCGTAGTCGGCCGTGCCTCGAACCCGCTGGGGTGCCACCATGAGGCCATGGCCGGTGGATTTTGGGTTTGGGGTGGTGCTTTGTATGGAGCAACTCGAATTCAAAACAGCACTACGATGCCACCTGCCACTTTGTGCGAATGCGTTTGTTGCAAAGTGCAAGTTGTTGGATGAGGGCAGATTTAGGAAAACACGGTTTTGGAGTGCAAATTTGTGTTTGCATGCCTGCCTATGCCATTTTGAGTTGGAACATTCAACACCCCAAGGTTTCCCGATGCCTGACAGGATGTGCAGGTCCAAATTGTAATTTTTTGTTTTTGACACCCGGCCAGCCGCCGCCGGTCGGCCCTTCCTGCGAGGCGACCACAGATTGCCCAGGTTTGTCTCAATTGCAAGGCGCATGTCCGAGCAACTGTCCCTTTGTCGCCCCGCATTCTTACCTCAGCCCCTCGGCGACAATAGGGGTCGTGCGCAGTTGGGATCGAATTTTGGGCTGGGAGGTAGTAGCGGGTGGTGTCATCATTTCTTGTGGGTCACGTTTTCATTGCTCAGAGGCACTTTGGCGACTGGCACGGGCGTTTCCCCAAGGAGGGGGCTCCAAACTCTAATACCTAATGTTGCAAAAATTTTGGTGTTGGGCGGCCAGTGAAGTCTTTGCTTACGGCTTATCGGGTCAGTAATGGCTAGTGAGGTAGGAGTTGCTCAGACTAAGTGGGTGTTGTCCTCGCAAGAAAACCCAACAATAACAGACGAAAATCATGTCGGAACCAGCCAAAAACAAGTGCCCGTTCTAAAGTTAGGCAAGTAGCCGGTGGACTGGACACCAACAAAAAAGTAACATCCCGTTGACAATTCGCCATGACATATGCGCAAATAAGACTGTTTCCCCTTGGTCCAAATCCAGTGCTCAGTGCTGAGGTTGTGTTTTCCAATGCGCTACCGCCTCTACGTGTTCGACAGCAAATCCCAATCTGGCTTTTCCGCACCTTGGACGGCAAGTGTGGCACACGTTGCTCATGGATTTAAATACAAACATATACAAATGAATTTCCCGGACGGTCCGCACGTTTTGAGCCACCCAGTTCCTGATCCTGAGTAGCAGTGAGTAGCAGTTGCTTATGGAACGCGCTGGGGCGCCAAAGTCGCTCAGATTCGCGCGCAAGTCCGTGCGGAGCTTGCCAGGAACAACGCCACCCAGCTCTGTGAGCCTTGCTCGGTGGTGGGGTGCAAAAGATGCGCCTCCAAGGCGGCTTAAGACATTGGGAGTGTCATTCATGCAGAAGTCCGACGCAGAACCGGCGCATCGTGATCGGCCCTCGGCGGGTTTGGTTGAACCTCCTTTTATTTGGCCGGAGCGAAAATCACCGGGCCGTGCTCCCACAGGACACTTGTGGCGAGTGCTTCGACAACTTTTGGCCGGAGTTCGGCGGGCGCGTGTGTGCCGCTTGGGCCGGGTTCGCTGGCGGTTCGGCCGTGCGGCAGTGCGGCGTGGGGCGTGGACGGGTGTTAAGTTTTAACTCGGGTGGTGGTTGTTGAATCTCTGCTGCAAACGAGCTGTTGCACCCTGAACTGCTTCAGCTGGCCGGCAGCGAAAGACTCAGGTGTATGTGTGGGATGACCGGGCGAAGAATGGCATGAATGCGGCCTTTGCTTTCAGTTTGCTGCTGATCTTGATCCTTTTGGCAGGATGATCTTGGGAGTGTGGGAACCACACTGACACTCTCTTGCGTAGGATTTCGACAGGTTTGGGGTGTTCGAGGGGCCGACTGGATGCCCATCAATGCCCTTGGATGCCTATGCCCATCCCACATGACTTGTGCTGTTGCTCCTAAGTCTCAACAGAGGCATTCTACCCTGGTGGCAAGTTTTTCTTGTTGGACTCAACTTTGATCTCCTCAGCGCCGCATGTGGTCGGGCCCCCCCCCCCGTGGTTCCAGGAGTCTACCTGATCGATCGCTGCAACTGCTTCGGGCGCTGCCTGCCGCAAGAGATCGAAAGCTCGCCCGACGAGCTGGACGATGAAGCGCCTGGTTGGACGAAGCGACCGGTCGGACGGAGCAGTTGGAACGGCTGAGAGGATGAGACATGGGTTTTCGGGGGGGGGCTTTGGGTGCCTTGATAAAGACACCCTTACCCCCATGCTGCCGGGGTCTTGGCACATGTCTTGTCCTAAATAAGACACGCTTGGAAGCGTGATTGGTCACCATACATGGAGGCATGAATGAATGGACCAGAATCAAGGCTCATGCGAGAGGCATTGGGATTGATTCCGTTTCATTCCGCGGATCCTTCTTATGTGAGATATAGATGCTGGGTGTGCCAAGGAAGATGAACTGGTGCGGGCTCAGAATGAGAGCAGCCTACCGAAGGATCAGCCAGGACAGGCATGTTTTGGAACGCTCGTGCGGGCAGTTCTGCGGGGTGCTTCTTGAGGAAGAGCCCACTGGCGGGTGAGCCGTTTTAAGAATTCTCTTAAATCTAAATGATGTGTTTGTGGATCAGACCGATGCATCTCCTTCAGACCAACATGCCGGAACTTGATCAACCGGTCAGTACTTGTTGTTCTTTGGGCGGGCATCCAGAAGAGGCAAAAATTAGTTGGAGATTTGCAACCTTTTTACAGGTAAACCAAGGGTGGTAACAGTTCATATCTACACTTCCCTCGTTCGTCAAGGTCCCACGGCCACGGCCGTGGAAAGCGCGAATTCCTTCGATCGGCCGGTTCGCGCCCGCCGCGCGCGCCGCCCCCGCGCCGCCGTGTCAGTGCGGAAGCCACGAGGACAGGATCAGGAACGGTTAGACTGCGAAATCACACCGCTGAGCATCAACCAGGGCAAGCTTCATCGTCTCAGATGTAAGGTGCGGGTGCCGCAGTGGTGTGTCGCAAAACTGTGGTATGTATGTATATATATATATTTATATCACCACAACATTAGCCCCGTGGCCTACTGTTCCGGAGGGTGTATTGAACAAATAGTGTTTGGTTTGGCTTCATGTAGTGAATGCTCGAACGCCGCTAGCTTGCTCGTTTAAAGCGCTGTGCGCGCTTTGGCCCGTCTTCCAGGTGAAGAACCTGGAGCCCCGCTCCACACAGAACCAAGGCGTGGATACCGCGCGGTTCCGGGTTGGCGAAACACGGAGGACTCAAAGGAAGTCTTTGTGTGTGATGAAAAGGCAGCGCTTGCCGATACGTTTTAGGGCCGCCAAGGAGTGCACGTGAAACTGCCTCAACGGGTCATTCTGCACATCTCCAACCAAGGAGGGCTAGCATCCTCCCTTTGAAACATCCTGGAAACATCTATATAGCAGCTGGCATCCTCCTAGAGAGACGGGACCCTTGTGTCGTGTGCAGCTTGATGGTATTCGCGCGACGAGGCATGAAGCATTCGCAGAGCCTGCTGGGACACATGGAGCGCCAGCTTCCCGCGCAGGTCGGGGAGTTGCGAGTTCCCAGAGGAAGAATGGGAGAGTGTTTTGTGCTGCAACTTGCCTGCAAAATTCTAGCAAGGTAGGTACTGTACTGTAGAATCTTGATTTACAAAAGAAGCCTTACCATTTACATACTTAGATGGCGAGACCTCTTCATTTGTTTTTCCTTCCAATCAAGAGTCTACGTCGGCGTCTACAAACCAGGTACCTTCCTTCCCCCAATTCAACCGTTTCCGACGTTCTCCCTTTGGTTCACTCAGCAATTCCGACGGCCAGAATCGCGCCTCCACCCTGCTGGGTCGCTTCAAGAACGTCCCCTTCCGCGCCGCTGGGGCGAAGCGAGACGGACCGAGCGGACAAACCAGCTCGTCCGAGCTCGATGGTGCGGGTTCTGGGGTTGGCTCAAGAGCACCACCATTCGGCATGTCTTGATTTTGTTTGCGTTTTTTGACTGATTCTTAATCAATATTGCTGCCGCTGCCTTCTTCCGGAGCCTTTGGACACTTTAGCCGCTCTTTGGAGAGTTCCGCTGCTTTGATGCAGGCCATGTGTTTCGATCCCTTCGGCCAAAAGAACTCGCCAAGGTCAACTTGCACCAGAAATTCTTGGTTGGGGTTGGCCTGCCGCTCTTTCACCAGTGATTTGGCTGAACAGTTAGCCGTCAAAAAGGTTGGATTTATTTAGTCAGTGGGACATCAAGAAAAGAGGTGGGGAATCTAATGAATCTATAATCTACCTGCATCCTGGAAGGGATGCCGATCCACAGGCCTCAAAATAAAGGCAATCTTTTCTGTGAAAGATGATCTTTCCAAGAAAGGGGCGTACTTTATAAAAGGGACGTACTTTGATCCCTTCATCATATTTGGTGTTGAAATTGAATGCTTTAAAGATCTTTAAAGATGCATTCTACTGAGTTGGCACCTTAACATGGTGCACACTTCAACTCTTCAATCCCACTTCCAAGCACTTCCGGGCCCCCATCCGCCCGGCAGCAGCATTTGTTTTGGTCAGAGCTGGAGCTGGTCACTGCAAAGGCAGTCGGGCACCTCAGAGCCGGTTGGGACTGGAGCTGCTCTGGCCAGAGCACGTTGGGGCCCTTGCCCTCAATATGGGGGACCAACAGAAAAACATGACTGCATCAAGAAACATAACAAAACCTCCCTAGAAGCACTGCATCACTGCATCACTTGCAATTTTATTTAAAAAAACCATTTCCTCCAGAGAGGGGCACTATACATGGGTCACTACATAGGCCATCTCAGCTCAATTGCACCTGATCAGCTGTGTTGCACTTGTCTTTGTTCTGGTGACCCAATTGGAAACTTATTGGATTTAATCCACTGTGGTGAAAAACATACCAAAATCTTATCATGGTCGATGGCCCTGGCTTTTGATGGCCATATCGCTCACTGCTTCAGTTGCACTGGCTTGCATAGCACTAGCTGTGAGGCATCAAACTCCAAAGTGTTTTCTTCCCTTTTTGGCACAATGTCGGATGGGGAGCAGGATTCTCAGCAGGAGGGTGGCCCCATTGACCTCTCCGGCCTTGCGGCAGAGTGGGAGTCTATGCGGGAAGTGCGGGCTTTGTTGGTACAAACTGGTTCTGTCCTTGTGTCAGAGCCTAACAAATACCATCCGTCTGATACAGTTCCTGGTGTGGCGGTCAATCGCATCGTCCTTGCACCCATCATGAGAAGGTTGTGGGTGGGCACTGGAAATGGCTATGGGGTGATCAGTATGATTTCCATCCCTGCAGTTGAGAATGAGCTCCTTGTTTCATATTGAGTTTGTTTGCTTTTGGAGAGCTTTGTACCTTTTTTTAATGTGTGTGTGTGAACCCAAGTGATGTGATGGTGATTCTTCACTGCTTTCCAACCCTTCTCAGGCTGAAGGAGCTGCACAGGCTGGTCCTCAAGACCCCAGACCTCAGGCTTGTGAAGGTGGATGCCTGGTTCATGAAGAGAGCTTGCGTCCTGGTGAAGAAAAAACTCACTCGCCGCCAGTGGCCGCGTAATGATAACTTTCGTGCCCTCATGGGTGAGGTCGTTGGGCACCAGGAGCGATGATGGAAAGAGCTGAGGGTATATGCGGTATATGTTCGAAGGTTTTTATGAGCAAGTGTTAAGCTTCAGTTCAAGCCATCCTCCCAAATTATCAGCAGTCCTCAACCTCCTGGTTTCTGCGGTTTTGTGCGTCTTCAATGTGAGGAGGAAGATGTGGATGCTCTGGAGAATGAGGAGGATGAGGGTGCTGATGGTGCTGATCCCATTGCTCTCACCGATGGCAATGCCCCTGATGAGAGTGGCCATGTTGCAAATGGCAGTTCGGCAGGTGATGCAGTTCACCTGGAAGGTGCAGGCCTGGCAAGGGACCAGAATGACACCACCCTGCCGGACATTGTCAAACCTGATGATGCTGCTGCCATTGTTGAGCCCATGTTCGTGGAGGACTCACAACTGGATCCGGTCCTTGATGCGGCCACCGTACGAGAACTTTTCGGTTCTGATGAGGAAGCCGCCGACCCGGAGCAACCGGTGCAGAACCTTCCCTGTGGCAAAGCAGGTGATGGCCTGGCAGTGCCATCTGTGCCGGATTCTGAGCAGCATGCCGAAACAGACAAGGCCCCATTGAATCTCTCTCCAGGATGTGAGGGCTTTGGTGCTTTGGATGAGGTGGACCAACTGCGAATCATCATGGCTGACCTGAAGAAGGAGCAAGAGCGTATGACCCTTTGATGGCAACCCATTCCCCTTAACGTGTTGTGATGTTTGATGTTCCTCAATTTTTGAAGGCATGAGGCAACACATTAGCTGTAGCTCTTTCCTGGAACACCCATACCAAGTGTCATGCTGGCCCAGGAAAGCTGCGAGAGAGGCCAGGCTTCCGAAAGAAATCATCCAGATTGATGACTCGCTGCCTTTTGGAGGAGATCATGTTGAGACATTGGTTATGCCCGAGGAATCTATGAAGAAGGCTGCCTCGAAGCTTTTTAAAGAGGATGAAGAGATGGACAAGGTCATCAGGGAGGCCCCTGACTTTGACGATGCCAACTCAGCTTCAAGGCTAAACCATTGGCACACGGATACATTGCATGATGTGTTGATTTCACAAGTATCCCCAAAATGCAGCATTCCTGACTCCCTATTTTGCTTTTAAAAGTTGGGGAGTCAGTGAACATAGTTTTGGGGCACTGGCTCTTGGATGTCTAAAATCAGGCCCACCTCTTGCCCCTGTTGGCATTCATGTGACCATTGTTTGTCATCATTGTTGCCCAGGTTCTTTTGCGGAGGCAGCAGCTTGGCCTCAAGAGAGAGCTGAACGAACCCGACCAGTCTGAGGGCACCAAGGGCCAAAGCGGCAGGGGTCGAGGCAGAGGGCGTGGGAAGGGAAAAGGAAGAGGAAAAGGCGCTAAAGCTCGAGCTCCCACAAATGAGCCTCCAGTTGAGGGTGGGGCTGGGGATAGTGTTGATCCACAAATGGCGGCTTGTCATCCTCATCAATCAGAGACCGGTGGTCCAGCCGATGGTGGTCTTCATGATGCGCCGGCAGCAGCTCCAGCCAAACGCAGACGCACCAAGAGGGATCAGACTGGGGCTAGTGAAGCGGAGAAGCCCAAGGCACCCAGGAAACGCAAAGCGGCCCAGGGAGCCGATGCGCCCCAGCTGAGCAAGGAGGCTCAAGAGGTGAGCGATCCAAAAATGCCCATTGCATCAGAAGGGCCTGAGACATCCACAGAGTGCAAGGCCAGTCCAGATCCTGAAGCATCCAAAAAGCCCAAGCAGCGTCGCAAGTCGGAGAAACCATCCGAGGAGGAGAAGGCAAAGCCGAAGGTGCCCAAGAAGTCGAAGTGCCCCTCCAAGAGCAAGTCTACTGGGGACATGCCGGAGCATGATCAGCTAAAGGGCAACACGGACAAGGTGGATGGCAATGGGAGTGGTGACACGGGTGACAAGACTGGGAGCTCATCAGCTACCTCACCACCCATGAATTCCACCTGGGCTAGGAGAAGGCGTCCGAAGACAGAAGATGGGGCCTTGAAGTGGGATACTTTGCGCTCCATTTTCATCAGCAACATTCGTCCAAGCCTGTCGAAGTCTTCTACCCATGAGGACTTCCAAGGTTTGAATTATTTTCAATCTGCCCATGACTCTTCCTATAGTCTTTCATGAGTAGTCTTTCAGGAATAGAGCTTCAATCCACATGTGTTTGCGGCCCTTCAGCTTTCAAACATTTTGCTGCCACCATACTTGCCCAATTCATGACACAGCCAAAAAATTGAAATAGTTTCTAGTGTTTATACTTTTTTAGCCTCTTCAACGGTTCCTTTTTGCCTGCAGGATTTCTTTTGGACCTTTTGCACCAAGCGCTGGGCCAAGAAGGAGATCAACAGTGACAACATCTGGGAGGAGGCCCGTGAGGCTGCCACCCAATACTTGGCTAGCCTAGGTGGCTCCTAAGCCATGCAGTAGGGCCGTCGCAGCATTTTGACCAATAATTTTGGACCAGCCTCCAGACCCACGTGTTGGCACCATGTGTGTAAGAATTGCGCATATAGGAGCTTTTCACTTGTTTAGTTTCACATAATCGATCAGACTTGTACCAAATGTTACTTCAACAGTGTGTGCACTTTGGCACGTGGGAAGCTGTGTCCATATAGGAATAGTGAATAGTGTTTCCAAATCAAATTTATGGGGCAGGGCTTTGGCTACAAAAGGCCAATACCCTTGACAAGGGCCTTGGTTTTAGGCGATGGTGTGGCTTGGACAATACATGACCTAATCCCAACACCCCTCTGCTGTCTCATTGCTATCGATTGGTATGGACAGTATTGGTCCATTGTGTTTCCCGTCGAGTGCCCACCTCGCGTGATTGAGGCTCACTTGTCCACTGGGTTCATCGAGAGATGGAAAAAAACTTGACTTTTGCGATGTGTTTTTTCCAGTCCAATTGAAACCTCGTGACGCCTGCATGCCACCCCTCACAGCTAGACCCTCCGACCCTCAACTTGGGGCTGCGCGCGCTCACCAAGTAGCCTGCCAAGGTCACAAGTTCCTGCCGAATGTCGGGGAGAGGCCATGGGTGGAAGCGGCGTCTCCTCCCGAATGACGAGTACATCAGTACCACTGGCTGTTTGGTCATGAGGGTTGAACTATGTTGAACTGGTCTTAAATGTGGGAACAACAGAAAGTTCTGTTGGACCGAATCCTTGCTTTGAAAGAACCGATTGTCCTCCGCTGTTGGTTGAATGACTTTCTGAAGGTTCGTAAAAGACTAGCCACCACTAAATGATCACAACTTTTCCAAGATTTGCTTTGGATAGAGCACTTTAGAAGTTGTGGCAAATATATTTATGCTACATGTGGTTTCTTTGCACTTGAGCTGATGATTAACTGGGCCAACTTTGGAAAACAAATCAATGTTTGTTCGTGCGCTGTCTGGCTGCGTATGCGTCGCAGCCTTTTTGAGGGTAGTGGTTGGTAGATTGTGACCCTGGCCCCTGAAGCCATGGCTGTGGGTCATGACACAGTCCAGAAGTTGGACCTTGTCCTCAAAAGACTTCACTCCATGGGCGCCCCTAAGGCCAGGAACGGACCTAGCTAGGTTGCATGCTTACATGTCTCATGACTAGACTTCCTG